TCCCATCATACTTGTTCCTTGATAAACCACGCCCTCCTGATAAAACAGATTAATCTTATCTTTCCCGTGTATTGAGTTATCCAAAATATATGGTAATGATCCGTTACTCACGCGCCAACTATGCGATGCTTATCATCCTATCACTAATTAAGTGGCTGCTACCATGCTTGTGCTAACACTGTTATCATCATTAATAAAACAATAATAGTAGTACTGATACTTGCAATACCCATCAGATCCCGGAATCCGCACCTGCCACCTGATAAGACTGCAAGACCGACCAGATATTGCAACAAGAAAGAGATATACATCAGGCAGCAAGGCGATATTACATTATCTAGCTTTTTTATCCTCTTTCTTTCGCCACTCCCACTCCCACTCCCTCTCCCTCTCTCACACATCCCCCCCCAAAAAAAAAAAAAAATCTTCGAATCCATCCCACTCCTTAACCTCTCCCTCACGCTAAGTCTTCCGCTGGCCCGGTCTCACTTTCAACCTTTCGTTCATCCTATCTTTTATTCATTCTCCTCACTTCCCTCTATCCTCTCCCATCCCGCAAAACTACCCGTCTTCTTGCCTTTCATTGTTCTTATTCTTTCCGAATTTCTGTCTCTATCCTCAATAAAAAAAAGCTGCCTTATCTCTTAAAATATACCAGTAACATCAGCTTCATTGAACAAGCAAACAAACAAAAAGCATAGTAACAATAACAAGAACTTGAAAATAAATACAAAAACAACAGCATTAGCTTGCAAGCAAAACAACCTCCGGGTTACCGTGCAAGGGCAAACCAATTCCCGGCTGTCTTGATGACATAAGATGTACGAAGAACTTTTTTTAAAATATATTATCACTAACTCAAGTGCAAAACTAACAGCTGATAACACTTGCCGATTACATTCAATATACGACACTGATCGATGTCCTGTGAATGCGTAGATTAATTTGTGTAGATTAATCATTAACATTAAAAAAAAGTGTAGATAATCACTGATCCACCATTCTCAGGCTACCCAAGTAAAGTAATCATTACGAAGATTATTGTCAAGATAACGTAATCCTTGATGAAAAGATCACAAGGACAAAGGTATCACAATGGAGAGTACTACCAAGATATAATAGTCATTATAATATAAAAATATATATAAAAAGTAAAGCTAAGAGAGCTTATATACCGATCTTTCACTAATACAAGACGAACTCAGTTATCGGCCCGTGACCAGTTCAAACGAGGAAAATTCTGCGGCTGAGGTTATCGTTCCTATCAAAACACAGCGGTAGTGAAATTAAGCGCTTGCCTAAGGAATCTGCCCCGGGTTGGTGGGCAAGGTGGTGGGTTGTGGGTAGAAGGGTGTGGGTAGCAGCTGGTGGGCAAGGTGGTGGATATCAGTTTGTGGGCAAGGTGGTAGGTTGTGGGTAGAAGCGGGTGGGTAGCAGGTGGTGGGCAAGGTGGTGGATTGTGGGTAAAAGGGGGTGGGTAGCAGCTGGTGGGTGGTGGGTAAAGGGGGTAGTGGGTAGTGGGTAGAAGGCAGAGGGTATGAGAAGTGAGTAGTGAGTAGTGCGTAGAGGGAGAGGAGGCAGAACGATTCAGGTGAGTCAAGCTGTCATGAAAGATATGAACACTAATACCATCGCTACGTGATAAGGGAAAGAGATCCCAGTTTTACATCAACCCGCGTCGGATCATGCAGGGAGTACCGTCGATTGCAAGCGTCGATGTTTCCGAATAAAGTGGGAGAGAATAATATCCTCGATTCGGAAACCTTTGTGTGGAAACGCGAGACTTGAGAACACACCTTAAAAAAGAGGGAGAGAGGGAGAGAGGGAGAGAGGGAGAGAGGGAGAGAGGGAGAGAGGGAGAGAGGGAGAGAGGGAGAGAGGGAGAGAGGGAGAGAGGGAGAGAGGGAGAGAGGGAGAGAGGGAGAGAGGGAGAGAGGGAGAGAGGGAGAGAGGGAGAGAGGGAGAGAGGGAGAGAGGGAGAGAGGGAGAGAGGGAGAGAGGGAGAGAGGGAGAGAGGGAGAGAGGGAGAGAGGGAGAGAGGGAGAGAGGGAGAGAGGGAGAGAGGGAGAGAGGGAGAGAGGGAGAGAGGGAGAGAGGGAGAGAGGGAGAGAGGGAGAGAGGGAGAGAGGGAGAGAGGGAGAGAGGGAGAGAGGGAGAGAGGGAGAGAGGGAGAGAGGGAGAGAGGGAGAGAGGGAGAGAGGGAGAGAGGGAGAGAGGGAGAGAGGGAGAGAGGGAGAGAGGGAGAGAGGGAGAGAGGGAGAGAGGGAGAGAGGGAGAGAGGGAGAGAGGGAGAGAGGGAGAGAGGGAGAGAGGGAGAGAGGGAGAGAGGGAGAGAGGGAGAGAGGGAGAGAGGGAGAGAGGGAGAGAGGGAGAGAGGGAGAGAGGGAGAGAGGGAGAGAGGGAGAGAGGGAGAGAGGGAGAGAGGGAGAGAGGGAGAGAGGGAGAGAGGGAGAGAGGGAGAGAGGGAGAGAGGGAGAGAGGGAGAGAGGGAGAGAGGGAGAGAGGGAGAGAGGGAGAGAGGGAGAGAGGGAGAGAGGGAGAGAGGGAGAGAGGGAGAGAGGGAGAGAGGGAGAGAGGGAGAGAGGGAGAGAGGGAGAGAGGGAGAGAGGGAGAGAGGGAGAGAGGGAGAGAGGGAGAGAGGGAGAGAGGGAGAGAGGGAGAGAGGGAGAGAGGGAGAGAGGGAGAGAGGGAGAGAGGGAGAGAGGGAGAGAGGGAGAGAGGGAGAGAGGGAGAGAGGGAGAGAGGGAGAGAGGGAGAGAGGGAGAGAGGGAGAGAGGGAGAGAGGGAGAGAGGGAGAGAGGGAGAGAGGGAGAGAGGGAGAGAGGGAGAGAGGGAGAGAGGGAGAGAGGGAGAGAGGGAGAGAGGGAGAGAGGGAGAGAGGGAGAGAGGGAGAGAGGGAGAGAGGGAGAGAGGGAGAGAGGGAGAGAGGGAGAGAGGGAGAGAGGGAGAGAGGGAGAGAGGGAGAGAGGGAGAGAGGGAGAGAGGGAGAGAGGGAGAGAGGGAGAGAGGGAGAGAGGGAGAGAGGGAGAGAGGGAGAGAGGGAGAGAGGGAGAGAGGGAGAGAGGGAGAGAGGGAGAGAGGGAGAGAGGGAGAGAGGGAGAGAGGGAGAGAGGGAGAGAGGGAGAGAGGGAGAGAGGGAGAGAGGGAGAGAGGGAGAGAGGGAGAGAGGGAGAGAGGGAGAGAGGGAGAGAGGGAGAGAGGGAGAGAGGGAGAGAGGGAGAGAGGGAGAGAGGGAGAGAGGGAGAGAGGGAGAGAGGGAGAGAGGGAGAGAGGGAGAGAGGGAGAGAGGGAGAGAGGGAGAGAGGGAGAGAGGGAGAGAGGGAGAGAGGGAGAGAGGGAGAGAGGGAGAGAGGGAGAGAGGGAGAGAGGGAGAGAGGGAGAGAGGGAGAGAGGGAGAGAGGGAGAGAGGGAGAGAGGGAGAGAGGGAGAGAGGGAGAGAGGGAGAGAGGGAGAGAGGGAGAGAGGGAGAGAGGGAGAGAGGGAGAGAGGGAGAGAGGGAGAGAGGGAGAGAGGGAGAGAGGGAGAGAGGGAGAGAGGGAGAGAGGGAGAGAGGGAGAGAGGGAGAGAGGGAGAGAGGGAGAGAGGGAGAGAGGGAGAGAGGGAGAGAGGGAGAGAGGGAGAGAGGGAGAGAGGGAGAGAGGGAGAGAGGGAGAGAGGGAGAGAGGGAGAGAGGGAGAGAGGGAGAGAGGGAGAGAGGGAGAGAGGGAGAGAGGGAGAGAGGGAGAGAGGGAGAGAGGGAGAGAGGGAGAGAGGGAGAGAGGGAGAGAGGGAGAGAGGGAGAGAGGGAGAGAGGGAGAGAGGGACACCTAAAAAAATAACGAAAATAAACCAAAATCATGTCCTTCCCATGAAACCAAACAGACCGCATTTCTTCCTTTCTAAAACACACGTAACTTCAGAAGAGGAATCGCCCACCCGAGCCGCCGAAAGCCAGCGGCAGCAGCAGGGCCGTCAAGTGGGCGTCTCTGGACCCTCAGCGGCGGAGGCGAGCGCTCTGTCCTCCGCAGCGAATCCGGTCCGTCTCGGCGGGGGAGGGACGGGATTCTTCGGGCGGCGCCGCGGACTGGTTTCAAGGATCGCCGCCACCAGGAGTCCGTCCTCGAGCTAATAGGATCCTAGTACACGAGCTAGTCATAAAACCATAGCTACAAGTGTGCATGCGATTGTAAAATCATAGCTAGTAAGGTGTGCACGAGCTAGCAAAAAGCCTAGTTGTTAAAGTGAACGAGAGAGTAAACCCCTAAATAATAAAAATGTACACGAACCACTAAAACCCTAGCTAGTAAACTGGATGACCTCTTACTCGTGAGGTATACACCAGCTCGTAAAGCCCTACCACCACACAATGCCCCACGAAACGCAGGCACGAATCCCAGACCCAGCGCGCCGCCGCCGCAGCCGCCGTTCGTTCCAGCCGCCCGCCCGCGGCCCTCGCCCCCGGCCCTCGCCATAACAAGCTTTGCCCCATCCCCCGCCGCGAGGATTACCGCGGCGTCGTCATTACCCCTAACCCTCCCACGTACATACAAATGACGCTTCTCAGCCCTCGCCCCGTGTCTGCCATCCGTCTCGCTTCAACTTTTTATTCCTTCGCTACTGGCCTCTGCTTAAAAAAAAAGTCCTGCGTCCACAGAACCATTAAACTTTCAATCCTTTCGTTGGGTCGAGATATTCCTGTTCTCATACAGTGTCTTTGCTCATGGTATTCTGAAACACGAGAGCGATATATGCAGTACACACTGTGGGAGGGAAGAAGAGAGGGAGATGAGGAGAGGAGAAAGAGGGAGAGAGGGAGAGAGGGAGAGACGGAGAGAGGGAGATGGAGGGAGATGGAGGGAGAGAGGGAGATGGAGGGAGGGAGAGAGGGAGAGGGAGAGGGAGAGGGAGAAGGAGAGGGAGAATGAAGAATAAAAAAGAAGTAGGACAATAATTCATAAATGTCAACATAGACATTCTCTCTCTCTCTCTCTCCCTCTCTCTCTCTCCCTCTCTCTCTCTCC